TTCCATTCATATTTCCTAAGCAACAATATGTGAAGAGAATAGTATAGTTCGAATTTGCTTCTCTATTTTGTTTGTATCAAACCTGATGATCCGCCTGCATTCTCAATTGTTTCTTGAGTTTGGTTACCTTGACATTTTTTGTACGTGTTTATCAGTAAATTATTAGCTTCTTCTGGAACTCTCTTCACGCAGCACGTTGTAGGGAGAGATAACAATAATAAAAGTCAAGGGCTTTCAAGAGAAAGGCCATTAGCGGTTTAATCAAATAAATTAATAAATATAATTATATTTCTATATCCCTAGGTATCCGAACTTGCTTTTCCATTATGGTACTTTTCAAGAGAAAAAGTAGCCAATACAAACCGCGCATTCATGCACGGATAGCCCTAATATATACACTCCTGGTGCTACAGCTAGCACCCCCTGACTTGAAGATCAATCATATTTACCCAACGGAGAAAAGGACTAGACAAAATATACAGATATACCCCCTAAATATCTTTATATAAATCATGTAGGGCTCGTTGGCTCCCACGGTAGTAAAACTTTGTTCTTCGAGGAACCCCCACGCTGCCTGTTTCTCTCCATGTTCTGAGAGTTAACCTGCACCTCCATCGTCTTCATAATTCCCCTAGAGCTCTGGCTCCTCTCACCACTGCCGCCACCACGACGAACACCACCATCATCATTCTCTCCCTCTGCTGCCCCATCTTTAATAATAGCTTCTTCGCTCCCATCATCATCGCTTCTGCGCGGCGGCGTTCTTGTCCAGGGATCGACCGCTGTCATTGTCGTCGTCGTTGTAAATTCATCCATGTTGTATGTGAGCACGTCGCTTCCAGCACGCTTCTTGAAGGCAAGGCCGCTTCCACCGTCAGCATTAGGTCCCTGGTGAAAATACCGTCGACTGTGGGAACCGGACGGTCTATAGCCCGGCGTCGACCCTGCTCGCCTCCCGGACGGCGTGCGGCCGGTGGTGGCGGTGAAGAGAGGACCCAGAGTCGGGATACAGGCGGCGATTATGATTAGGTATTGCTCTGTTGAGATCCAGGTTGTCAGATTTATTGTTTCGAAAGTATAGTCGGAGCGAGCGACAAGTTCTGATAAATATATGGTTTTGACAATGGCGGCGGCAGTGGCGCTAGATTTTTGGTTTTTTTTTTTTTTTTTGTAAATCAGTATTGATTTGTGATTTGTAGAATCGTTAAAAAAAGGCCGCTGTTAGATTCAAAAGGGGTGTGTTAAGCAAAAAGCTTTAATGAGACTTACATAACGCCTAGGGCCAGAACGCACGTGAGACCAATTTTCATATTTCGTGCCATTTGGAGCTGCCAAATAATGAAAACAGGATATAGAGCGAGAAGTAAATCAGAGGCGGCAGAGAAAGCTATTGGTGGAGTGGGGAAATATTTGTAAGTCTGCTCATTTGATCGCCAATGGCTGGCGGAGAAATTTCTGACATGAAGAAGTTATACGTACAGCCCTGGAAAAATGCATAATCCCTCTGAATGTTTGGATGCCAACATGACCCTTTCTTGTTGGGGCCAGTGCCATTCCAGAGGGCAGTGGTAGGGGTGCATTGGCCATAAATGGTGTACACACAGACAGAGTTGACCACGGTCAGGAGAACCATACCACCGAAGAAGATGTACCTTTTTCGTTTCGCCCTATCGACAATGCGAAGGAGGAAAAACGCAATGGAGACTTTTCCCCAGTTCGTCGACATGACATGGAAGCCCTGGGAAATCCAGTTGAATTTGTTCGCTTGAACCTTCTGGTAGTCGTTTAAATAATAAACATGGCGGCCGGTGCCGTAATGTATACATATCGTGACGCAAATGGTGTTCACGAGGGCGCAAGCCTTTAGGGAAGTTAGATATCAATCCAAATTACGATCCGCATTAGAACAAGGAAAAAGGCCATACCATTGCAAGGCACATAAAGGCATCGTCCCATCCCCACCGCTGAATCAATCTAGTTCGTGTTATGATTCTTGCCAGGACTAAAGCGAGTGCAACACCACATTCGGCCCACGTTATGGCATTGAGCATTGGCCCTTTGTTAACGTCTCCATCTGGAGGAGGTCCCTGATCATCCATGGTAATGTGGTCTGGTTCTACCACAGGTCCAATTGCTTACCGACTCTGATGAACTCCATCCACGCAAACGAGGTAGAGAGGCGGGAAGCAGTGAGAGGGAAATGGTTCTCTAAAATGTATACACAACATGGCATCAAAATGATTTAACCCGCTGACTTAAATTAGATGGCCTGGCCAGAAGGATCAAAAAATATAGCACTACACCGTACGGAGTACATCCATGCCAGTAGAGGAGAGTACGGCTTACCGCAAAGCCAACTGGCAGGGTAAATGAGCCCATATATCGAAAAAAAGGGACCCCCGATGTTGTCCCTGCGGGTTATGATTTTCGCCCCTCGTCATTATTTACCGCCGTATCTCCGTTCGGTGTTGGGGGGTATGCAAAGCCCAAGAAGGACGTAACCTAGCCGAAGAATCCCAGCAACGTAGCCTTTGAAAAGAATCGCCATGGAGTTGTCCGTGCCATAGCAGCCACAATATATGGGCATTCCCAAACCTTGACTTTGAAGCCCGGTGAGCTAGATGGCCACCCTGGAAAGCCCTCGGACTAGCTGCATTTTATCATGCATTCAAAATGACAACAAGAAAATTGCGGATCGTCCAATGAAAACGGTGCTCTGAGCAGCGCTCAAGATTATTAAAGTTATCTTGCTTCATTTTGAGCGAGTTAACTGCCTCATTCCTCGTGGTGACAATTTTCACCCAGTGAGATATAGAGAAGATATGGTTCGAGGGTTCAGGGTCCTGTATCATCTAGCAAAGCATCTTTCAAAGAGATTATATCAGTTTGAATCAGCGTGTATTCATCTGACTTCCCATTTCTGCACTCGTGGCAGCCCTGAAGATTGGAGTCGCATTTCGATAAACAAACTTATCGCTGAAGGCGTTCTTGTTCTGTATGAGTTCCCAGACTTGGAATCGAAACGTACGCCTGTACTGTACAATCCAAATAATCCCCCCTCCCCCCACCCTCCCCACCCCCCATCTGCTCGATCTGGGAGCTTTAGGCCTATCAGAGAGGCGTGGGTGTCCATCAAACCGAGTGGTAGGCGTGATTGGGCCTCTATTGGCCCAGGGTCACCTCTAAAGCAAGAGCGAAATGCTTTAAAATAATTAAAATACTAGTGTTTGCAGGTAACATTCAACAATTGCTTGCCTTGAGCATCACCTAAGCTTACTTTGGAGCTAAGGAGACTGGCTGGCCAAATCTCTCGTCAGATTCGTGCCAAATATCCAGGGTTGGAGAACCTCACGAGTCGCAGTCGGCGCCGCACCAACAGTTGTGTGCATAACTAGACGAGAGCAAGCGAGCCGTTGTTTTCCTCTTTGAGTTGCTTCTATTTTATGCAGTAAGGAACTCGCAGTCGTGAAATCCCATATAAGAGATTTGATACAATATTAGAAACTTGATCGCCCCGGATCGAAAGCTTAATTCAGTTTTGTTCCATTCTCCCATTCTCCCATTCTCAGGGGACGCATGCTATTCGTTGATAATCGCAGCCTGAGCATCCGGACCTCATGATATAGTGCCTAGCTACTCCGTAATGATGGTAGATTTAGGCATGGGATACCCTGAAATGACTGGTATGCAACGCTGCAACACGGGCTGGTCGGGGAAATTTGGTATCTGATTATTCCCTATTCGGAGGTCCTGTTTTCGAAAGTTGAGATGATAATTTGCGGGAATTATTTTTTTCACTTCGATGGTGCGGCTTCCGACGGCATAAATTACCAGGGGGGGGGGGGGGGGTGGGTAGGTAATCTATGTCGCAACGGATGGTGCAAGGCGAGAAATGTTCCGGTTCATCCATGCCTCTCGGGCTCAGCTTCAACCCTCAGGGGATCCAGCCAAATAATTTAAACAAAATTGTCGCACTCCCATGTGTTATTTGTTCTAGTACTTTTTTCTTTGTGTCGTTGTATGCATCGGCCCTTGATCTGGTTCAGGCGCGTTGCAGAGATAGCAACTGTGCGCGAGGGCCCAAGCAGGCTGATGCTCGAGTATTCAACGGTGAATGAACTGTACATATTTGATCCCCCAGGAGGTAAATGGATATCATTGCTATCAACTGTTGGGGTGGAATGATGAATCCTGGGCATGGAGAAGAAATACATAGGAAAAAGCGGCTGGGGCGTTTCATTCGCTAGCTTAACCTCCGCCCAATCTTCACAACCTTATTTTTTATGCTTATATTTCTCGCCAATACGGAGTATTTTATTTCTTTATCAGGCTCTGTTTGGCTACCAAAAAAAAAAAAAAAAAAAAAAAAAAAAAAAAAAAAAAACCCTGAAAACCACAGGGCTGGATACCGGGATTTTCCCACGTTTCTTTATCTCGTACAGTAGCACGCTGATAGCAAACTCTTTATTTAAGATACACGGAGCTTGGATTGTATGTGTGAAATTGGAAGTGAGGCCTGCAACTTCACTTGGTCTTCTTACTTGCGGCTAATTTCATTTCACTAAAATAGAATGCCACGTTTATATTATAATAAGCGGCTATTTAAATGTGAAATTGAGTGTTTCTCGAGCTGGTAGAATATTTTTGGATAATCGTCGGAAATAAAGCCTGGCCCGTGGTAACATTTGCGCCAGATATATTTCGGAAATTGCGGAACTCAAAGCATTCGGCATAAGCAGCCAGTTTGTCACTGGATACATCGTCTGGGCACGTCTGCCCTGTACATCTGCGTTAGCACTATCGTGGCCACGAGCAGGCGAGCTCGCAGGATGCTGGTCTGGGTCCTCTTATGGATTTTCCTACTGTACGGAGTACTCCGTACAATGCACAAATTAGTACGGAGTACGGAGTACTGTCATTGTCGGTCGCAGCAAAACAAAACTGTGATCGTCATAGCTGCCGTAAAGTTTGACACGCCGGAACCTGTTCCAATTAAATTGGGACCCGTGGCCCAATTGGCAAGGCGTTTGACTACGATGCATCACATCAAAAGATTGTGGGTTCGAATCCCACCGGGTTCAATTCTTTTTTTCTTTCTTTCTTTTCTTTTTTTTTGTTTCAATCTTCCCCAATTCAAATGTCTCTTTGTCTGCCTTTTTTTTATTCACATACGCACATGCCTCGGCGGCTCAACTAATCCAATCTCGTAAAAATAATATAAAAAGAAAGTTTTGGCGTTCCGCGTTCCTAATCAGTCACGTGGTTTAAAACAGCGTAAGCCGGAACCCTTACGTCATACTTAGAAGAGTAGTTAGTTAGTTAGAAAAAAAAAATTATTATAAAAAATTCCAAGCCAAACCACAAGAGGTGGAGGGGCTGGGAATAGCCGCAGATTTTTAGAGAACTGTACATGTATTGTTGCTTTTCCTCGGTTTATTTAAAAAGGGTCCCTACCTAGTTGGTCAAAAAATGTAATTCCTCCGTACTCATTTGCACGGAAGAAGACCAATGCCGGCAAACAAGCCTGAGAATGAGTTGGCGACACTGAACGAACCACACAGAACAACCTTGACCCACGAGACAGCAAAAAGAATTGAACCCGATGGGATTCGAACCCACAATCTTTTGATGTGATGCATCGTAGTCAAACGCCTTGCCAATTGGGCCACGGGTCCTGGTTCAATGGTACGCATTTGAGTCGGCTGCCCTTGTGGGTTTGTGAGCGCGGGTGGGTATGTTCGAAGAAAATAAAATACCGAATTGTTTGGTGTTAATCGGCGCGAGAAGAAAAGTCAAGCGATCCATTAAAACAGACAAAAAAAATGGCATTAGAGTGGATAAAATCGGATGAACCCGGTGGGATTCGAACCCACAATCTTTTGATGGAACTGAATTCCATTTTTCGAAAATCGTAGTCAAACGCCTTGCCAATTGGGCCACGGGTCCACTGATACGTGGTCAATGGCAAAAAATTGCGCTAGATTTGTACTGTACTAAATAACAGACTTAGAGCCCATTTGAAATGTAGTAAGAAACACCCCTGAAATCTTGTGGGTATTAATTCAACTACAAACGTGTCTCTCAAGGCCCATTTCAAGGCTTGGTCTTCGGTATTCTGGTGTCTTTTAAATTTTTCTTGTGCAGGCATCGGCTTAGCTGGGCTCCCTCCAGGCATGCCGCATGTAATATAGTAACTTATATAGGTAGTAGTAATGTCGTTAGTAAGTATGAGCAGGGAAATCGATCTTTGGTTTGCAGGTTTTTCAAACCGGAAGTTGCCAAGTCGATACTCTGTACTTCAATGAGCTGATGTGTTACTCCGTACTGTGTGCTAACTAGTTATCCCGCTCTGATCTGACCAATACGTTAATGGTTGGAAGACCGGTGAATGGAATATTACGGAGCAGCACCCTCCCTTGAACAAAAGAACTAGTAGTAATTGCGGGAGTGCAAGTGCGGATGATTTTCAGCAATGGCAAATAAATCAAAGAAATTACCTTAAACAATCAGTCAGCGCACTGTCGACACTATTTTTTTCTAAAAGCCGATATTGTTCCGATATTGACATTCTACAGGGTACAGTACTAGTTATGTTTCGGGGGCGCTGTGAGAAATACACTGCAAATAGCTGGATACAGTCGACGTAACAATGCGCTGATACCGGGATTATGACTACTACTAGGGTTGACCATGAGCAGCCAATTCTTTTCTGACGAAAAGGACCGGGTTCGTATGCCGCAATTCTGCATCAATGGGGCGGTTAATGAAGGGATTTTTAGGATGCTACTGTGGTACGCACCGGAAGGAGAGCCCCCCAGCCGAAGTGGACAGAGTTTTGAGCCCAATCATCCGTACGGAGCACAGCATCTGTGTCTGGACAGGTTTTGAAAGAGTTTCTGGTAATGAATGAAAAACCTAGGGACAGGTTGAAAGAAGGTGGCTAGCTACGAGTTACTTGAGATATTATTGTCAATAAAACAACGGACAGACGCTTCAAGCCTGGCTCTGACGGTCCTATGTAGAAACGTCAAATTGCAGGCCTGTAGAGTTATCCCCAATGCAAATTTACAAAGAAGCTCTTTATTAGATATACCCAACAAGCAATAAGCGCCCAATAACCTTGCAACTTTTCTTCCCGCAGTTTACTTCCAAACCTGTCTAAATCGTCTTAAACTTCGCAGGCCCGGCCCAGAGCCTCATTCGCTTCCCGTAAAATTGTAACCCCAAAACCATCAAAAACGCAAAGCCGCAAATTCCCGTCATGGTGCCGAACTGACGAATGGTGCCCTGGTTGTTCGCCCACCGCACCATGAAGTAGCTGACAACAAACCCACCAGTTGTACGTCCGAAATTGATCCACGCTGCCACCTCTCCGCTGGCTTCTGGGTAACTGTCCAGCACGTACGCGTTGACTGCAACAGTCGTGATCATAATTCCAAATACATACAGGCCCCAGCCGAGCGATGCTAGCATGTAGTGATACTCCCTCTCCAACGCGAAGCCAAGTAGAATTAGTCCTGCAAACATGAAGGGAGTTGCGATCCAGGCTGCTACGTATCTGGCTTCAGGTTCTAGACGGCCATTGTTGCGGCGCGCAGCCATTCTAGCGATTATGTCGTGAAGCCAGTGGCCTGCAATTTCGCCGAGGATGGCCGCGGTAACAGGGGTGAAGTAGAAGAAACCTTTTTATTTTTGAAGCAGTTGGTTAGTGATGAACCATATTATAGGCAAGTGGGTGAGTTTGTCTCCTGACCAATTTGTTTCGGGCCAAAGTTGTAAAGGGGACCGAGGAAAATAGATAGGGTAGTGTTAATCCCAACAACCCATGCGAATGTTAATAGATAATAGACCATGGAGATGAAGACGGGTGGTTTGCAGATAATAATAAGGGGGCGCATGCAAGCATCCTTGAACGTGTTACGCAGATGCCGTGACTGCCATTGTTCAATTCCAACCATTCGCCTCCACTTCGCGCCACGGACTGGCTGCCGAGATTGAGGGATCTTGCGATCATAATATGTTTCGTCAATAAAGAAGACGATGAGGACTAGACAGAGAGCCGTCATTATCGAGTAAACACCAAAGGCCCACTGCCATATCTGTGTGTTGATAATGAAGGCTGTGAAGAGCGGCCCCAAATATGGAGAGACAATGATAAAGCTGGACCAGATGTTGATCTTTCGCGCATGCTCATGGAAGAAAAAGAGATCCTTGATGAACATGAGGCCACCCTAAAATCATCATCTCCATTTTTAGCAAATTAATTTATGCTTGATTCTGATAGTGATTTGAACTAACCCCTTGGGCCACTGTGGAAAAGAAGCCATTGAGAATCCTAGCAGCCTGCAAAGCGCAAATTAGTCAAATTAGGTCAAATTTATACATATTCATGTCCCCATAATCTCTGGATTGGCATACCATAAATGATTCAAAGCTTTGGGCTGCTGCACACCAAACAGCTGTCGCGGTCGCAATAACCGTAAACCAGAAAAATACAGGGTACCGGCCAAAATAAGCTGCAAAAGCCACGACGAAGACACCACCGGCACCCAACATAAACACATTTCCGACCTGTGAATGGTTTACCTCGTCTGGAGTCATCTTCCAGATGCTAGATTTTCATGTGTTAGCTTTTCTTGCTGCTGAATTTTTCACCAATGACATCTGAATCTTACGCAGACTGTGGGAGCAGCGTGACTGCTCCTGTTGCGCTTCCATAATCAGGGAGAAATGCAGTCATGGATATAATGATGAGGATAAGGTGTTTCCTCCCCCATGACCAGTTGAGGGGATCCAATGGCGATGTCGATGGTTGGGGGATGAGGATTGTACGTCCGTCCCGAGTGGTTTTTAGATCTCCGGCTTGCGCATGGGAAGTGTCAACAAGATAGCCTTCCTTCCCAGCAGCAGCTTCAAGTTGGTCAACTGCATCAGTAGGCTCGCCGACTACGAATTTGGCCTCAACGGACGCGTCGGAGGAAGGCTGTCTAGTGCTGCTCGGGCCAGCCATTTTTGTCTGTCAGTATTTATGTTTGATAGAGGGGCAAGACAGGAATCAAACGCAAGAGCAAAAGGTTATGAGAAAGAGTGACGAGAGGGAAAAATAAATAAATAAAAACAAGGATAGGGAAAGACAGTCAAGAAGAGACGAGGGGAAGAGGGTTGAACCAAAGAAAAAAAATAAATAAAAAAAGTAAGAAAGAAAGAAAACAGAAAGAAAGACGAAATCGAGTTCATGCATGAATGATTGAGGTCTATTCCGTACATCTCCGTACATGGCGATTGAATCTCACACGGCTTCTAGAATCAACAGACGCCACCCAATTGCTAAGTCCGACACGCGGGGAGAATGGTGTGCTGCTACAAACCGGTCCAGGGCCATCGGTTCATGGGTGCACGAGGTCAATTGGCATGGTATTGTTGCTCAATGCTTCAAGTTCATAGGTCTAGTAGTTGCATAGACAGCGTATATGAGCAAACCTGAACCTAGCATCAATTGGCAAAAGCTGAGACAAAATAAAAAGGGCGAGAAAGATGCCAGGTTATTTAGATTGCAGCAGACCAGACCGGGATAATTGCATCGGCTGGGTGCCACATGAGGAAAGGCAGACAATCCGCAGGTCTTTGGAATGTCTATTCCACCCCCCCCCCCTGTGTGGGTTGAGTTCAGTCAAAGTGGTGTTAATTTAGGGTTGAGGTAAAGCGAGCAAGTTCAACAACCCTGGTCTCCATTCCTGGGAACTGAGTGGTAAGATTAAGGCTGTTCCAGAAACCTCGTCAGAAGGCAGTCCGTAGGCGCGGCATGGATGGCATCCAGCCTTCGTCCAAGGGTGGTGAGAAGCTCTGCTGGTAAGGGGCTAATTTAGCAGCCAAGTGCACCGTTACTCCGTAGGTACTCCGCAAGCTAGTAACTACGGAGTACTCCCTGTGTTAACTACTAGGTTAATCAAGCTAAATAGGTTGGCTCTGGGAACCTCGACAAACAGTTCTCGCCGTTAAAAACCTTTTCCTTTTAGGCTTCGTCCCATGGTCTGATCTAGCCTCCAGGCAGTAGCTGTCACGAACCAGTGTTTGTTGGCATTTTTGACTTGGGGGATTTCAACTCTCAGAGAGAAGAAATTGAGAACTCCATGCGGAGTATTCCTAAGCGATAACCTAGGTTGCGTCTGACATGATCCGAAAGGCGCACATGAAGCAATACGTAAAAATAAGTTAATTTTGGATTTCATGAGCAGCCAATCAAACCAGCTTTGGCGGCTGCATGTCTCGTCATTGCGTAATTATGGCCTCTGAGAAGGGGTTCCGTTTCTTTCAGAGGCCTACGGACTGTAATGTCAGTTTGATTTGCAAAAAATAAAATTCTCCATGTTCTAGCATTCATTATTCATCTACGGAGTACATGTAATACATTTGCTCGCTATAGAATTTCAATTTGCATAGCAGTGTCAATTTCTAGTGGTTAACTCAATCGCCATGTACCAACTTGATAATTGGGATGTGACTTAGCGGGAACTTGGATTCCGATGTACGCTGTAATTCAATGGCTCATTTTGATGTTGAAACAAGTTAGTTGATTAATTTACAGATTTACTAAACACAACGAAGTACTGCGGTTTCAATTCTCCTCCTGCGCGGGCGTGCAGCCAAGGCCTTGTATCCATGGCATTGCAATGTCTCCTAGACGAGCGATAGACAGCTGATAGCTATCAGTGGTGTTTCTGCCTGAGAAAACGGTAGAGCCGAAGAGTTGGCCCCGAGAAATAGAGATCATTGATGGAGTCATGGGTAGAGGAAAAATGGTCTGCCAATCAGGTAAGTTTTGCAAGCCTACTTAGAAGACACGTGGTATAGTTACCTCAGTTTGAAGCAGATTTGGTGTACCTGTGCTGTCCCTGCTCCAGACCTCTACGAAACCCTTGACTAGATCCCCTGACAGCCGAGACCAC